TTTATGATGACAATCGGAGTTCGAGGTCAGTAATTGAAGAAATTAACCAAAGCGAATGTCTTGGTAATAGATTTTTATTTTTTTAGATTCGTTTTAATCGAAATTATGTTCATTACGATGTGTTTGTTTTTTATAACTCATCTTGTATTGATATCTATTTTCTTTAATTATTAAAATACGTACCTAATTCACATGTTCAAATGGAAGTACATGCACGACCCATTTTCATATTGTCATATTACCGACTTTTATGAATCATGAACCATTGTGTTCATGTTACTTCTATCATATGAACACAAATGTTATTTTTTAAGCTTGATACCAAATCTTTATATTTGTGTAAGTGTTTGCACCCGGTGTTCATAGCGTTGGGATTATGTGTTCATATATTTTATACGATATGAACAAGGGTGAACACGATATGAACAAGAGGTGAACACGATATGAACAAGAGGTGAACAACCATATAAGATCAAAAACATATATGAACAAGGGGTGAACCTTAAACAGTGTGTATGCAATGCATGTATAAAACTTCAATTGACAAAGGATCGCTCCTGAATGTGTTTATAATGAATGAACTATTGTTCACAAGCTGTTCATATCGTGTTCATACACGTTTTTTTATTTAGTTTCTTTCGTATAACAGTTATTCTTATTATGTTCATATTGTGTTTATAAATGTTATGCAGTCCAAGTTCATATATATGTCAAATTTTTGTTCGTATTTGACACAATGGTTCATACATATATAGTTGTGTTCATATGGTTCTTATATTAACAAAAATAAATTAACAAAAAAATCATAAAATTTTGATTTTGTAACTCCCAATTAATTAATGATATGGGAGTGATATAATTTTTTTTTACCTAAATACTCTTTTCAACATTGTTCACTTATCTTTATGCAATTTTAAGTTTAAAAAAATAAGTTTTTTTCATGATTAATCACAACCGTTTATTGAAAGATTGAATGACCAATATCGGTTAACAAAGTTAACACAAAAACTTTGGTTAACATTTGATCTTACCCCTATATATATATATATATATATATATATATATATATATATATTTCAAATGCAACCATGCCCATTTGTACAACCAAATGACCAATGCAATCCAATTAATTAAGATATTAATAGAAATGGTGAGAGTTTATTTATTATGATTTGAATATTTATGAAAGATGAATAGTGTTCATTAATTATAATCAATGCTTTATATTATGAAACAATCAAAACTTCTATAAAATCACATATTCATCAAATTAAATGGACGGTTGAGATTGAGTTGTATTGGTTGTACAAATGTAAAAGGTTGTATAATAACCAACCTCTCTCTCTCTATATATATACATATACAGAGAGAGAGAGAGAGAGAGAGAGACACGTTCAAATGAAAACCGTGTAATTCTTAGAAACCGTGTAAACTAATTTCAACCAATAGGAAAATTTCATTTTTTTCTAATTAAATTTAATCATTAAGGGTATATTGGTCATTTGCATTGTTTTATATTAAATATGGAAGTTATTAATAAATCTTAATTAAGGTAACATAATAAAGAAAATCTTATAAATGGTAACATTTAAATATTTAATTAAATTATAATATTAAAAATTGGATTTTGTTATATTGTGTCTCGGTTTATTATTGCCAAGATTCATGAAAATCGTAAGTTATTAGATTAATAAATCCATGAAATCAATAATAATAAAAAATATTCATGAAACCGGTTTCATACATGGTGAAATTGGTGCATGGAGTAAGTGAAAAATGATTATGAAATTGGTGCATGATGAAACCGGTTTCAAACATGATGAAATTGGAGCATGAATTAAATGAAAATGATTATGAAATGGGTGCATGATGAAATGGGTACAACATGAAATGGGTGCATGATGGATAGGGTGCGTGAACAATCTCATTGGACAAGTGAAACAGGGTGCATGACGAATAGGGTGATGAATAGGGTGAGGAATTTACCATAAGAGGGTGGATAATGAATGTGGTGTATGATGAATATGTGGTTGGGTTTACCATTTTGCCCTTCTCGCTATTATAAAATAAAAAATTTAATGTATATTTTTTTAATTTTCTAAATTAAACTAAACTAATCTTGACCATTGATCAAGAAAATGGATGAATGAGATTGGTTTACATGGTTTACACAAATGGGGGCGATTTTTATTTGATCGCTCCTATATATATATATATATATATATATATATAGGGTTGGGTTCACGTGAGACCAAATGTTTTTCATGAGACCCGTGAAACCAATTTATGTTCATTGATCAACTTTATAAGCTAATGATCTAATGGTCTAAAGTTGCACGGTGACAATTTTGTGATTATTGAGAAGTCTCGTGGCAATTTTGTGATTATGAATGTTTAGATTGTAGATCTAATCCAAGGGTTGAGAATTAGTCTTACGGGTATCACGAAAAGCCCTTGGTCTCACATGATCCCAAGTATGTGTGTATGTGTGTATGTGTGTATGTATGTATGTATGTATGTATGTATGTATGTATGTATGTATGTATGTATGTATGTATGTATGTATGGAAAGGTTCAAATGAGGACTCCTGTGATTTACAAGAATGCAAGAACATTCTATAAGCCAAACATTATGTTATAAATCAAATTTTAAGATAAGTTAAAGGATTTCTCAAAATTAAATAAATACTAAAAAATTCAAAAATACTAAAGGCGTGGGAGGGTAAAATTGGTATAATAAAATTCAAATAACACGATGATGATTATTCTGATCATCTGGGGAGTGATAATCGTCATCAGTGACGTGGTTATCACAACATCACAGTGATAGTGGGCCTATTAGGTAAACCGAAAACAAGGAACTGAGAAAGTAACATGTTTCGGGCGAGTTAGGGAGAGCGTACAGTCGATTTCGAAGGCGAGGAAGAAGATACAAGGTATGTGTTTGATAACACATGTTAATAACATATTATAACACTTTGATTGGGGTTTGGTATTTGTCTGTGATCAATTAGAGATATGATGGTTGAATGTCTATCACAGACTTATCAGAGTTTAGGGCATGGTTGAGAAATCGAATAGAGCAACTATCACAACTCCAGAAATCGAGACCGTATGTGTTTGATCGATAGTCACATGCAGTTTATTCAATCATCAACAACAAAAGAGCAAAATCGAGTAATAGAGAACATATACAATTGTCACATTGCTTACTTATCACATGATTATCACAGGACAGTTAAGCCATATTCACAATATAAGTTGATGATAGCCTATATGTTTTTATCTATTAGGTTTGTATCATGAATTAACACATGATTATCGATTAGTGCCGGATTATTGTATGTCATTGGTTTGAGCTATATCGCATATTTATCATAGCATGTTCCATGATGAAACAGTGTAATCGAACAGGTGCAACACTTGATTACATAATTATCGATTTCATACCTTTATCACACGAATATCACATAATTGTTGATTTCACACGAGTATCACAATCGACGGCAACAATACATCCAATTACATAATAGATATTGCACAATTATCACAGGTAAAATTTGTTAATCAAAAAGTGAAAAATGTGACAAATCTTATCTGTGATAATTGTGTGATACTGATCAGGGTAAGATATTGATCATAATCGGACTAGTTAAAGTTGCCTACTTGCATATTATCATCAACACAAGTAAATTAATATTAATTTTAAATCACAAACTTATTGATTTTGATTTTATTGGAGGGTAAGCCAGATAAGTGATGATTATTTAAATTTGTGTTAGTTATTGTATTGTTTTTTTTGGAAATCATACCTTCGAATGTAATGTATCACAACAACATTACATCTGTGTGTTGATTTCATAATCCCAAATCACCGATTGTGTTGTATCACATTGTTATCACTTTGCCTTTGATGTATAATTTTTGTTGAATTAACGTGCTTTGGTACGACTCTAAAAAACATACTCTAATATGTGATAGCCATATGATCACAAAGATTAAATCTTCGGATACAGAAAACGATGGAAGAAACTATGAGAAGAAAACGATGGGGACGTGAGATTCTACGCGATCAAATTTCAATCTAAGATCATGAGATAATTACAATTAATTAAAATAACATAAAAATTATAAAATACCGAATTACATTACTACCCTTATTGATTTATTTTTATTTATTATAACTTAAATTATTGGTAAAAAGAGGTTAGAGACGCACAACTGTTCTCATATTCTCATAAATAATGAGTTTTCATTTGAACTCCTGCCTATGTATATATATATATAATACACATATTATATATATATGTGTGTGTGTGTGTGTGTGTGTGTGTGTATAAGGTTAGGTTCACGTAAGACAAAATTGTTTTCGTAAGACTCGTGAGACAAATTTTTTACACTTGAAACTTCACAGCAAAATGTTGTGAAGGTAAAAAGAAGCCGAACCTTCACAGCAAAAACATTGTGAATGTTACCTTCACAACCAAATTTCAAGTGTAAAAGAGTTGTCTCACATGTTTCCCAAAACAACCATGTCTCACATGATCCCAATTATATATATATATATATATATATATATATATATATATATTTGTTTTAGCATAAACTAGGGTTTCTGCCCTAATTATTCCAACATGGGCACCACTTTCCCTTTTAACCTAATCCTTAAGCCCATTCCCATTAAAATCCATTACAACATCTCAACGATCAAGAATATCTTCAACATATATGATATTAAAATTTCTAAAATAAAATGTTAAAAGTTAATTTTTAAAAATTACATTTAAATTCAACAATTATTTTATTTTAAATCATTTCATATATCTAATAAAATATTATTTTTTATAGATTAAAATTTAATTACAATGTTTTTTATGGAAAAGAAATTAGAGATTTTATTTAATAAATCAGCAAAAGTTATAAAAATGGTAAGTAGAGGCTAAGGGAGTAGTACAAGGTGGAAGGAATTGGTAGTACCCTTGCAGTACACACCAACCCAAATCATTCTCTACTGCTGTCCCCTTGTTTATATAAACTAAACGCAACCTTCCTTCCATTGGTTTTCTCCTCTCTCCTACGCAACCACCAACTACCCCTTTTTTCCGATCTATCACTTGCCGTCGACGGCACCGGCACCGCCACCATGATGCACATGACCTTCTACTGGGGCCGAAAGGTCACTCTGCTTTTCGATTCATGGAGCACGGACTCATGGTTCAGTTACTCTCTCACCTTAATCGCTTGCCTCCTCTTCTCCGTCTTCTACCAATACATGGAAGATCGCCGTCTCCGATTCAAGCTCCTCTCCTCTTCCGCCCTTCGCAACAACGCCGATGGAGCTGTCGACACCACTCCTCTCCTCTACACCAAGATATTCGCCGGCGGTAGCCGGTGGAATCTCGGCAGGTTTGCTGGATCTGCGCTCTTCGGGATTAATTCCGCGCTTGGTTACTTCCTCATGCTTGCGATCATGTCGTTTAACGCCGGTGTGTTTGTCGCCATCGTCTTCGGACTCGCCGTTGGATACTTGTTGTTTAGGAGCGGCGATGATGAGCAAGTGGTTGTTGTTGATAATCCTTGCGCTTGTGCTTGACATTTGATCTTGTTTTCGCTTCTTTCTAGACCGATCTAATCAAAATTGGGGACCGCCTCTCTGTATTTTACATTTGATAGGATTGAAACCTAAACCTACATGTACGTAAGTTTGAATTTATATGGTTGTTCTGTATTATTATTATCATCATCATCATCATCATCTATTGTTGTTTGAATCAAATCTAATTTTCTCAATGATAAACTTTGACCTTCTAATTCAATTTGTGGCTGTTGTCGCCTCTTGTTTCTTCGCTTAAATTTACAGATTTGTCGTCGATCATATCAATGGACTTTTTGACATTTCATCAAACAGATGGAAGAGGTCAAATTGGGGGATGGAAACATTCCATGAACATGAAAAATTAAACAAAACCTGATGAAATAATCCAAGATATTCCGTTTCATTAATAGTTTCCTTTTTGGTCAGTGATTGCCAATTTATGTATCACCAGATTTTGGGATCTATCCATGATGATTTGTAGATACAGACAACTTGAGGATTCTCGAAGATCCAATAGAGCTTGTTCGTCGTCCCTTCCATGGTAGATTGTGGGGTGCTGTGCCTGTGAAGGAACTGGAAGGCCCCATGATCATATACTCAAACCAGCACGCAACCATCTAGGTAGCTGTCATCCACCTCTGGGGAAGAAATCGAAATTGAATGATCCAATCAATCGAATTGCTTATGATCCGTCTGTCTCCTTGATTAGGTAATCCAGGTTCGATCGATTCCTTTTCTATTTTCTGCAAATCCCAATTTCAATCTGATTTGTTTTGATTTGTGGAAGGTAGGTTACCTCCCTCGATTACAGTCGGAATGTCAATATAATATTGTTGCCAAACGTCGATATCATTGAAGCTATTATGTGGTCATTGTTGCGTTTGGTATGTAGACTACATGGGACAGGACGGAAAAAAAAATAGTCCCATGTTTGGCATGCCATGGACAAAAAATACATAGGACAACATGGGACTATTTTTAAATTTCATTGGACAAAACTTGATGGTTTTTGTTTCACCAAAAAAGATGGAACAACATGAGACTAAATATAAATTGAGTATATTACCCTTGTTATTTCTTTCAATAGAAAACCTAATTACCATTTTTGCAGCCTCCTTCGTCATCGTTTCTTCCTTCCTTCCATTTTCAAGAAATTTTTGCTCAAAATCTCTTATTTTTAATCTTGCACCTCTGTTTTTACCACAAATCCCACCTGGGTTCTTTCTCATTTCAGGTTTATTTGTGAAATCCCATCTGGGTTTTTGTGTTTCACACCCTTGTTTCATTTGGGTGTTTTTTTTTGGGATTTCAAAAATGATCACTGGTTCAGACCTTTACCATGTGCTTACAGCAGTGGTTCATTTGGGTGTTTTTTTTGTTGGATTTCAAAAATGATCAATTGGGTGTTTTTTTGTTGGATTTCAAAAATGATCATTTGGGTGTTTTTTGTTGGATTTCAAAATCTTTTATTTTGGTATATTTGACATGTGGTCTTAGAATGTTAAACTTTTGATAATGTCGTGACAAATGTTACAAGTGAATTTGTGGCATGACAAATGTTATTTGCATGTGGTATTGGAATGTTAAAAAAATGTAGGTTGAATAACATATCAAAATGGGTAATATTTAAGTGCGATTGCCGGGTTGGCTTGTCAACCCCCTTTTGTCATTTTTTTGGATTTATATTTTATGTATTAAACTTGATTACAAAAACTATGTAATTAAAATATATTTTGGTAGATTTGTTGTCATTTTACAATCATTATATGATATAAAATAACATTGAACAACAAGGGATAATATGGTCATTTTAACAGTTTTATCCTGTCTTGTTCTAGTCGTACCAAACATAGGACAGACAATTAGTCCTGTTCCGTCCCGTCTTGTTCCATTCTATCCCGTCCCGTCCTGTCCAATCCTGTCTGCGTACCAAACACTACCTTAATGAACTAATTATATAACACTACCTTAATGAACTAATTATATACTCTTTCACATCGTTGTTTTGTTCTAAATTGATATGTTTGGTTGGGTTTGTGATTTATGGTATCAAAATTGCAAAATCGAAAGAAATAAAAATCATTGATGGCATATTTCTTCGGGTTTTTGCCTTATCACTAAAAACCTGCGACCATTTTTGGTTGGTTTTCCATTTTGATCATCTATGTGGGGGTGTTTGAGATTGCCTTATTTAAAACAACTTGTGTTTTTATTTGTTTTTGTAAAAGTGCTTATTAACTTATGTTTTTTTTT